GCCTTCCCTCTAGTCTTACACTGCTAAATTAGGGACGGCTAGCACAGATAGCCCTCGTGTAGCTTTGCACGATATTCAAAAACAAAAAATTCTCCATCCTATCACCGAATCGTTCAAGATTCACTTCCTAACATGTCACACTACACATCATAATAACATGATCCAGAATCCTTTCACTATTCCCGTGAGTACGAAAGTACATAATGCCATTTCTGTCTTTTTTTTCGCAATAAATAAAATCATAAAGTGTCTCCTAATAATAACACACTTTACGCAGTTAAGTAGCGATATTCAGATTACGTGTACAAATCAGTTTAATTCTAGCTTTGATGTTACAACTATCGACAGCTTTTTTAACACATTTTTTTAAACTAATTATGCACCAAACTGCTTTTCGGTCGATGATTTTGTTAGTTACTGGGTCCTTAATACCATAAGTCACCACAAAAAAATTAAAACAAAAGTTTTCATCAAAATATTGCAATTATTCCCACTAATTACTTATGGTGTCCCCTTACGTATTTTACAGAGAAAACGAGTGAGTTCATCCTATGTTTAGGAAGTTCTTTAAACTGAGTGTAACTGACAAAAGCATAAAAGTACTCAATATGACGCAGTGAAATGTTAAAGAAAAAACTGGTTGGTAATTTGATTATAAAAACGAAAGGTAATTTGACGTATTAACTTAATAAGTATGTTTGATTGTTGTTTAATTTTTGTATATTGCTCTTTCTTTAACTACAATGCCAGTGTTGATAAAAACCGTTCAGCTTACTTCATCTGTGGATGTAGAAAATGAATGGAAGGTAGTAAGTTGTTTGGCCTTGTTTACTTGTATGAGCACGTTTGAAAATATCTTTGGTGCTGATGCGAACGTGCCGAGGACGTGTATTTTAATGAAGAGAGACAAGAACCTTTAACTACGATAATAATTTTGAACTAGCTGTGAACTGTTGGTTTCATTCTGAAGATATTCAAATAAAATAATATGTATTTAAGCAACAGAATGTGTATTCTAATGAAGAGAGACAAGAACCTTTAACTACGATAATAATTTTGAACTAGCTGTGAACTGTTGGTTTCATTCTGAAGATATTCAAATAAAATAATATGTATTTAAGCAACAGAACTTATTAACAGGTAAAAAACAGACAGTGGGAAACAAATACAGACAGATAAAAAAATTACCCTGCCACCCACTATTCACGCTAAGGGATTAACTGTGAGTCTTACAACGCACCCACAGCTTAAAGTTCATGGAATATTTTATGGTATCGCAAGATCTGAACTTCAGAGCTCTACCATAGGGCGAATTTGTTCCCCAATAGATGTAAATATAAATAATTAAATATAACTATACATAACTGAGTAAATATTTGTATAACTATATGTATTAAAAAAAGATAAAAGTGATATGATTATTTATATAAAGAAGGTATGGTTAAAATTGGTCAACAGAAAGATATCCCCACATACAGGTGGACAGGTAGGTAATTAGACAGACAGACAAATGTATATAAGTACAAATACTTGTCTGTTTTTGGAATTTCGCTCTAGTCGTCTGTAATTTAGAAGTGTTAGACTAGCCCCCAGTGGCACAGCGGTATGTCTGCGGACTTACAACGCTAGAAACCGGGTTTCGATACCCGTGGTGGGCAGAGCACAGATAGCCCATTGTGTAGCTTTGTGCATAACTTCAAACAAACAAAGTGTTAGACTAGAGGGAAGGCAGGTAATCAACACCAGTCACCACCAACTCTTGGGCTCCTCTTTATCAACGAATAGTGGGATTGGCCGCACATTATAAGACTCCCACGCCTAAAAAGGCGAGCATGTTCGGTGACAGGATTCAAATTTGCGACTCGCAAGTTGCGAGTCGCGTGCCTAACCACCAGGCTATGCCAAGTCTAAGTACAGATACCTATAACGAAATTAAGAAAACAATAACATACAAAAGGATGAACAGGTATATGTACTCAGAGATACTAAAACAGATAGTTAAACAAACAATGATACTTGGAAGGACAGCCAAAAGTATATATTGAACAACAGTATTAGAAACAGACGACAGACATAGATAAATAAATAGCTAAACAATAACATATAGAGTGACGGACAGTTACAAGTGAATGTATATATATATATATATATACTGAACAAGAGAATTTCAACACAAAAACGGATGAATAGACATAGGTAAGTACAGATATTAATAAACAGACATTTAAACAATCAGTGAAATACAGAGAGACTGATATTGGTAAGTACAAATATTGATAAAACCGATTGTAAAGGAAACAATAATATACAGAAGGACGAACAGTTATAGGTAAGTTAGAAGAGAGATAAATAAACACGTGTAGACGGACGGACAGGTACGAATAAGTGGATGTTGGCAAAGGTATTTTTAGGCAATTTCATATAGACGGGGGCGGACAGATATATATATTTATAGAGAGAGAGATATTGATAAGCAGATTGATAAAGAAACAATGATATACAGTCGGATGAATAGATTTGTGTGTGTGGAGATTTGAATAAACCGATTTTTTAGACAAATAGTGACACACAAACAGACAGGTATAGATAATTAGGGATATCTAAAGAAAATTGTTAAGGGCACAGATGATAGATGTAAGGTTTCTGTTTGTTTGTTGTTACTCACAAAGCAACACAATGAGCTATCTGTTCTCTTCCCACCGCGGGTATCGAATCCAGATTTTTAGCATTATAAGCTCTAAAACTTACCACTGAGCCACCCTGGAGCCAGCTGTAAGTAAGTACGGATATTAAAAATCAAATTATTGAACAAGTAATAACATAAATACGGATGAACCGGTATAAGTGAGTAGAAATATCGATAAACAGATTTTAAACATATTTTTTTAAACAAACAACGACTTACAGAGGCGGCAGTGATAGGTAAATAGACTTCGATAAACAGATTTTTAAACAAACATTGACATTTCACGCAACTTTGAAGTAGCCGCTCTAGACTGATGTGTTTAGGAAACAATGGACATTGTTGTTTGTTTTTGCAAAGCTACAAAACAGACTCTTATATAATTATTATGATATTTCTACTATCTCTCTAAGTTAAACCCACGTGATTCTTTTATTTTATAACGAGATCGTGCTAAGATATAGTAAAACTGATCACGCACGATCAATAAAACGAGCTCCTCGAACTTTCTAAAGAAAGGTGTTTAGCTCAATTTTAAATTTCGTTTCTTCACCTAGTCGTTACGATATTCTAATTTGACTCTTCTGTTATTACTATTGTATTTTTTTTCTTCCGAGAAATGGTGGATGTTATCACTTTAAGTCAAAATACGGTGGTTTATTTGTACTTAGGCACAAAGATACACAATGGATCTGTTCTCTGCCCACCACGGGTATCGAAACCCGGTTTCTAGCATTGTGAGTCCCAAGAGCCACTGGAGAGCAAATATGGTGGTTAACTGCGAAATAAAAATAGTTCAATAGATGTGAATATTAACGATTTATCTTATTATTATTATGGATTTAAGCTCTTCCTTAAGAAACGTGAAAATATATTGAAGTATATCATCAACATTACAAACTGTTCTTTGAGTTGTTATTTATGAATCACTAATACGAACCTAAATTGTCACACCGTGTACGGTGTGTTTTTTTTTACCTAAGAAAGGATATTGTCACTTGTTAGAAAGAGTTCACAGAAGATGTTGTTATTGTTTGTAGTTATGCACAAAGCTACACAATGGGCTATCTGTGCTCTGCCCACCACGGGTATCGAAACTCGGTTTTTAACGTTGTGAGTCCGCAGACATTCCGCTGTGCCACTGGGGGGATTCACAGAAGAGCTACTAAGATGGTTCTGGGGATAGAATGGTTATCTTAAAAGATCGGTTAAGAACTCTTAACTTATTTTTTTCTTGAGGAATAATGGGTAAGAGTTTTATTGAATTTTACAAGATTACTGTGGGTATCGATAGGATAAAGGCCTCGGATTTTTTTAGTTATATTCCGAAGACAATACAGGAGGACACAAGTTTACGATTTTGACTTATTTTTCTAACAGGCTTATGAAATGAGTTGTCGTTGGTAGTAGTTGAGGCCAGCACTTTACAGGAGTTTAAAAAAGGAATCGATGTAAAATAGAAGATGAGTTAATATTTTTAAGTTCTCGAGAGTGAGGGTTGAAGTACGGCTTTAAAGATCAATGTTCCCTTGATGTCCATACTGTTGTGATTGTAACGTTGAAAGTCCGAAAACTTTCCGCTGATCCACCGGGGGACATCGGGGGGGGGGGGAGAAGAAAAGGAGGATACGAGTACTCATATTTTCCATAAAAAACATAAAAGTATGGCTCAAAAATAGATGATCACTTCGTATAATGTCACAATGACCTGAACCCTGACCTGTCTTATATTTTGATTTTTTCCATATCTGATCAAAAATTAAATAAAATTTACGTTTTACAAAGATTACAAAAATTGTCATAAAACAAAACGGCATAAAATAGCCTACTGTCATACATGGATTTGCATAAAAAGTGTTCTGCAAATTGAACTGGTTCAACTTTGCTCTAAAAGTCACAGCGCACGACACTTCTTGAAAGACTGTTTGTCGAATTTTTTCAAACAAAGCTAATAGAGAACTATCTATGTTAGCCGTCCCTAATTTTGAAGTGATAGACTAGAGGGGTTTGTCTGTTGTTAGAGCAAAACCACATTCTGTGTCCACTGCGGGGAAACGAACCCTTGATTTTGGTATTGTATGTCCGTATACTTGCTGTCGTCCCACTGGAGGGCTAGACTAAAGTGAAGATAGCTAGTCAAGACCACCCACCGCCAAATCTGGGGTTACTTTTTACCAACGAATAGTGAGATTGACTGTCACGTTATAAAACTCCTACGGCTAAAAGAGACGAGCAACTTCGGAGGCGGGTTTCGATCCCACGATCTGCAGATTGAAAGTCGAGTAACTTAACCATCATACCATGCCAGGACAGTGAATGACAGGTGAATCCTTTTCATTAGTCTTGTTGGCTCCAAAAAATAACATAAAAAGGTAGAAATCTTCGGCTTTATCTGACTTCTTTAAAATATTCGAACATGTGATTCTCTTAAACAAGTTTATTCATTTCGTTTGTTCAATCTGTCTTAATGTATTTCTTAAATCTGACCTATAGCAAATTAGATAAATAAAATTGTTATCAGTATTAAGCATTATCATATCAAGCTCACGCTCTGCTTCCCTCAGTGTTTTATCCCCACGTGGAAGGTCAATGTTTTCATACACGCGGATATATATAGCTTATATCTCAATTTCAGGATTTCTTTCAATCCCATAAGCCTTGAAAATTCGTTTCTTACGATATACTACACAGACCTCTTGAAATAATTAATTACTTTCCTTTCGAACAAACAATTTTTTCCACTTTTTCCATCTTTCAAAATCTTTTTTTAAATTATCAGCAAAATAAATGCCTTTTTGATTATTGCTTTGGTTGCTGTGAAGCACAAAGCTACACAATGGGCTGTCTGCGCCACTGAGGAGTTGGATATAGGAAAATCTCGTTTCAAAACAAAACCTTTCTAAATGATGCACTCGGGTTAAGTACATAAATCAATATTCTTCGTTATACATTAATTTAATGGAAAACAAACTGTAATATGCCTTATTTTGCAGATTAAAAAATGTTTATTGCATTCAGTATCACTAAAAGTTTCATGTTCAAAACATAATGTCTGTACTTATAAAAGTAAAAAAACTGTTTGTTTGTCCGCGTACTGCTTCGTGGTCTTTAGAAATCTCAAGTAAA